ATGTTTTAAAATGTGATTCCAATAATAAAATGTGACTTTAATGATAAAGAATAAGACTTGAATAWTTAAGCCTCCCAGCTGAGTCGGTGACTTCCTGTAAATCTGAATCAGGTTTGTTCTGGTCACCTGAAAGTCACGGAGCAAACAGGATCATCGTCTGCACCCATCAGGGCTCTGAAGTCAAAGGGCTCGTCTTGTCTCAGGACCGGGTCCTGGTCCTGGTCCTCAGAGAACTGACAGTGGTACAGGAAGCCTGCGTCGAAGCCTCCCTGCAGACAGAAGACATGGTTTCCTGTGAAACTGCAGAGTCTGATGGATCCTTAGAAGAAATAAAGAAGTACCACAGAGAGCCAGAACTGTCCGGGCTGAGAGTAGAAACCACAGCAGAGGGGACCAGCAGGGTCCTGCTCCTGGTCCTGCAGCTCTGCAGCAGTGCTCCTCAGGTTTCCCAACTCCTCCTGACGTCGTCTGATCTCCTCGTGTCTCTGAAACGGACCAGCATTAAAACCTCCTGAAGAACCGAGCAGACCCACCAGCAGCTCCTCACCTTGATCCGGGACTTGATGCTCTTAAACCTGAAGGCCCTGCTGGGCAGCTCGGACAGATGGAAGGTTCTGGGCGACTCCTCGGGGTTTGGACCTGGACTCTGGACCTCGACCGCGTGTCCGCTCCGACACAGGACCAGCAGCGTGTTTTCTGCCTGAGTGCAGCGAGGACACGGAGTCACAGGAAGGTTTATCTGAGCGGTAAAAACCGTGCAGCACGGCTCGGGCGTTACGTGGGCCGGAGGAGACCACTCCAGGGCCTGAACGGGTCCGGGGACCTGGATGAAACCGATGGGGGTGTACTTCTCCCCGACGGTGAAGAAGAACACGGTGCAGTCTGAGCTCTGAGCAGAAGAACACAAAGATCAGATCAGAAGTATGGAAGGACAGTTTGTGATATAATACAAACGTTCATTATTCAGATCAGAAGTATGGAAGGACGGTTTGTGATATAATACAAACGTTCATTATTCAGATCAGAAGTATGGAAGGACAGTTTGTGATGTGAAAAAAGTGTTTCGCAGTTTTGTGAAAAACACCAATTTCGATACGGCTGAAAAAAAACACCTCATCCTGGCACAAAAACATTTTGTCGAAAAAAGGAAGTTTTTTTCAAAATTGACGTGTTTCCACTGAGCAAATTTATTTTACAAATTCTAATTTGCGTATTTTCATGGTCAATGGAAACACAGCTAGTGACTGTTGGGCTAATCTGTGACTCTAAAAGTGTCTCTTGTGTCTGTGTGTGTCTGTGTGTGTCCCTGTGATGGACACCCCTCACACAGTGACTGCTACACACTGACACCACGACCCTGAAAGGATATAACTAACTGGTGTTTAATAGTTTTTCTGCTAATTTCAACCTTTTTTAGCCAATTTTATATTTTTGTGTTAGTTTTTGCATTTTTCAGCAACTTCACAGCTTTTTCAGCTACTTAACTGCTGATATCAGCTACTTTACAGCTTTTTTAGCTACTTTACAGCTGAGTTCAGCTCATGTTTTGCATTCACACTGCATTTTTGCTTCTTTAGCTGATATGAAAAGACTTTGATCCATTTGTGATACAATGAACGTTAAAACATGATGGGAGAGTATAAAGTTGTGTTTGTGTTGTCCTGGGCAGTGTGTGTAAACATGATAGGAGTGTATAAAGTTGTGTTTGTGTTGTTCTGAGCAGTGTGTGTAAACATGATGGGAGTGTATAAAGTTGTGTTTGTGTTGTCCTGGGCAGTGTGTGTAAATGTGATGGGAGTGTATAAAGTTGTGTTTGTGTTGTCCTGAGCAGTGTGTGTAAACGTGTGGGCGTGGCCCACCCCCGTGGCGAGGATGAGTCTGTTGCGCTCGTACGCCACGGCGGTCACGGGGGCATGGTGAGGTTTGAAGGCCTGTCGGAGTCGCAGCCTCTCGGGGTGGTGCAGCTCCAGTAAGCGGACCACCCCGTCCTCGAACCCGATCACCAGCAGCCCCCCGCTCTGGCTGACCTGAGGACAAAGATGGAGGCCGCAGAGGTCAKCGCTCTGTTTCCTGTGTGTGGGAGGGGCTTCAGCACCAACACTTACTGAAGCCGGAGCCCAGAGGAGAACTGTTCCTCCCTGGTTGAAGCGGCTCGTCAGCAGCTCTCTGTTGGACAGGAAGTCAAAGACTCGGACAGAACCTGAGGGGACAGGACAACAGTTCTGTTCCTGAACCCGAGCAGTGGCTCTGAAGGGTCCAGGGGGGACTCACGGTCCAGAGCCGTGGTGGCCATCAGGTGGGATTTGTTCGACACGTCCAGGCCTCGGATCGGACCGGCGTGGAAGGAAAACAGACACTCCGGATCGGGAGCCTGAAGACAACAGATTACATCACATCCTGACAGAGTCAGGACCACTGGTCCTAACTGGACCGGTCTGTTCAGGTCTCTCCTCCGTACRAACAGAGGAGCTCCCACTAAATTAAACCTCACCGTGTTTCTGAAGGACAGGTCCAGTTTCCAGATGGCTCCGTTGGAGTCCTGCAGAACCACACAGATGGGTSAGACGGGTCAGTTTGAGGAGTTGGAGGTCTCTGTTGGGGCTTTGGGGTTCTGACCTGAGCGAACCAGATGAAGGAGTCGGGCAGCGAGCTCTGGACCACGGAGCAAAGACAAGCGTTGGGTCCGACCAGCATGGTGTTGCTGGGCTCCATCTCCAACCTGCTGCCGCTGATGGAGGCCCTGTTGATCCGCTCCAGGTCCCAGGTCTGAGGAGAGGGACCGGTCAGAACCAACCCGACTCGTCTCTTTCAGGGTTTGTTTTTTAATCGGTCTTACCCGGATGAAGCCGTCGGCGCCGGCCGTCATCAGCTGCCCGTCCTCCAGAGCGAACGGCAGGACGGCGCCGGCGTGGCAGCTCCGCCCCYCTTTACGACAAATCTCCACCTGGAGGGAGGTTCCCTCCCACAGCAGCAGGGTGCCCCACTCTGTGCCTGATACCACCTGACAGGAAGAGGAGGGGCCAGAGGACAACCACTGAGTCTGGATCCAGACCRGGGTCCGTGTTTAAAGACCACCACTGAGTGATGTCAGTGTATCAATATAAAGATTTAAAAAGGTTTCACTKGGATGAGGAACAAGGTTCAAACCTTCCCATCAGGAAGGTCCAGGCAGCCCTGGATGTCTGTTGATGACATCTGTCCAAAACCTCCCGCGACTCCTTCCAGCCTGAAGCCTGTGAACCTGGTGGACATTCTCCAGAACCTGACAGGGAACAAGACAGTACTGTAGTAGCACTGTGGTAGTTTTACTGTAGTAGTACTGTAGTAGTACTGTAGTAGTTTCACTGTAGTAGTAGTAGTAGTACTGTAGTAGTACTGTAG